GGGGTACAAAATGAACATATATAAATTCAGAGCTACACTCTACAAGCTGGGGGGGGGGTACAAAATGAACATATATAAATTCAGAGCTACACTCTACAAGCTGGGGGGGGGTACAAAATGAACATATATAAAAACATTACATGAAAAGAATAAACATGAGAAACAACAAGGAGCAAACTTAAAACAACCAGTTTTTAGATTTGTGTTGTGAAATGGTTCTAGCAGGTTTTAATCTGCTTGTTGAAGAATAGCACAACTTGAATTAGTTCATAGAACAGGTGACGGAGCGCTGGTTGTCCCTCCACCCACTACACTGAACTGGTGCTTTGCTGTGAGGAGGATTATATTTACAGCATCACAGGAAGCTGAGCTTCAATTATCCAGGTCAAATAAAATGGCATCAGCATCAAAGGGAGGAATGTTCAGTTTGACATTAATCCAGTTTGTAATGTCAGTCCAGAACCTTTGAGTATTGACATGAATAAAACAAATGTTCAAGAGATTCATCTTCAGATTTACAGAAGGAGCTCAAATTTAAATCTTCTGTGCAGAAGCATGGCGACTGGATAGATCTTATTTATTCTTTTAAAGTGGTTTTCACTTTAGGACGTTTAGGCCGTTTGACACATTTCAAATGAGCGGAGGTCCTTATGGTTTTATGATTTATACTGGGAGGTTTCTTGAATGAATCTTTGTTGTAATCATAGTAAATCGTTTGTCGCTGCATTCATTGATCATCTTGTTACATTTGAGATCAACTAAATCATTTAGTTTTAATGTGGCATGGAAACGGTCACCTTGGAATACAGAATGATATTTTAATAACTGAATCAAGGCTAGAGGGATTACTTTACATACCTTCATAAAGTCTTTATGGCAGCAGCTAAGGTTATATTTTCTAACACAAGATGATAAATTTAAAAGATCTCCAGTACAATCCAAGATGTCTGTTACAAAATGATGCCTTCTTCATAGCAGTCTTTTCTAAATGTTGACTTTCTGCCCACTGTGATTGCTCTATTCTTCCACAGAGTTGATCCATGAGGTGAGAAGTTATGGTGAAATATCATTTTACAGATCTGAAGAACTTGTTTGTGGAAGTTTGATAATTAACTGGAATCTTTGTCACTTCGAAGTCACACCTTGCAAGAAAGTCACTTCCTCCCAGCTGTTTAAAAATGGAGGCAGGGATGTGAAACCACATTGAATTTAGTTGTTGTAGAAAAGTTTTTAAGCATTTAGTCCTAAATGTTCCAACCATTGCTTCAAAGTCTGGTGCACTGATACCACCATGCTCATGTTTTTAACTCGTTGGGACCTTTTAACATAACGAGTCTTCTTTTTCCACAAAAACTGAAAGATAATGGAGTTGTCTTTTCTTATGTTTAGTGGTGATCGATACATAGAACGACGTGGAGAAACAGCCTTGGATCTGCCGTCTGCTTTAGTCAACAGGTTCCTTCCAAAAACAGTCAGATCTCTTGTCAACCAACGGCTCACACTTTGTTTCATGTCCACGAAGAGGTTTGAGACGTTCTCATCTTCCCTTCTAACTGCGTTCTTAGATACTAGTACACCCAAGTACTGAACTTCATGTTCGACTCTGACTGACTGGATGTTTTGATGAATGGGAAGGATCTCACATGTGTTAATGTGAAGTCCTACACCTGAAGCCTTACAGAATAATGAAAATGTATTAAGGGCTCTTTCAACCATTAAATCATTTTTTAACAACAACGCTGTGTCATCGGCAAATTGACTAATCTTGTATTCTCTGTCAAAAACGTTAATTCCCTTTAACTCAGGATTGCTATTAACTTGAAGAGGTAGTAACTGAGTAGTCCAGATAAACAGTTTTGTGGAGATAGGACAACCCTGACGGATGCCTCGCTGGATCTTAAATCTAGAAGTAAGTCCTGGATTTAAAGAGACTGAGCTATAGATATCGTTATAAAACATCCTAATCAATCCACAAAATGAATCTCCAAAACCTTAAAGTCTCTAACAAAAAGCGTGTTCAACTGTGTCGAGCGCCTTGTAGAAATCAAGGAACAGGATGAGACTGTCATCATCAAGGCAGTCACAATAATCCAACATATCAAGGACCGGTCTAATATGATCGTGCACATTTCTCTCTCTAACAAAGGCTGATTGACTTTCATCAGTTCTATCTTTACGTCCTCTATTCAGCCAATCAGCAGAAACATGAGCTAAAATGTTGTAATCTGTGCACAGCAGAGTGATGGTCTCCAGTTATCCAGCACTTGCACATCTGTATTAGGTTTTGGGATTAAGGAGATGATCCCTTGTTAACCCTTGTTAGCATTAGCTTAGCATGGCTGCTGCTGCCGGATGAAGCGTCGCAGCTTTAAAATCTAAAATTGAGAAGTTTTTCTTTCAAATATACACGAAAACACCATCTGTCAACAGTGTTGTAGTTTATTCTAGTTTATTCATATATCTAGTTTATTAGTTTATTCTAGTTGATTTATATATCTAGTTTATTAGTTTATTCTAGTTGATTTATATATCTAGTTTATTAGTTTATTCTAGTTGATTTAT